AAAAATAACACTCTGGCTGCATATAGTCATCCTAGGTTTCACCTCGCGTGTAACTTTATCGAGCAAAGAATAAAAATAAATGCTAGATCTCAGTGAACAGTAAAATTTTAGGAAAATATTATCGCAACGGAAAGAAGAAAAATTAATATTTCGAAACTGCATATCGTGGTGCATTTCCTCTCGACACTTTGTCCATGAATTTTCTACGCGACGATCCGATGGATTAACAAAATCAGTATCATTAAAATGCATTTTACGGCGAAAGGGATGAATTTCCGTCGTATCGTATCGCTCGGAGGCAATCTTCGTAGCGGGTGTACAGGTTTCGTGTCGTCGATAGCTTCTCCCCCAATGGCGTGTCGTTGGCTGGTTGCTACGCGTGTCTTTTTTTCCGCGGTGTAAACGCTTCCGTTCCGTGATTTCGAGGGAGAACGAGGGGCGAAGATTTCGAGGGTCGGCCGGGGGAAAATCAATTTTCGCTGGTTCGAGAGTCACGGGGTAAGGGGTTAACGGAATTGGATCGGCAAGGGTTGTCGCGAATCGATTTTCTCCCGCGAAACCCGTCTAGTTTAATTTTGAACGGTTGTTTCGAGCGGATCCGGGCATCGGTTATAAAATTTTGCTCGTGACGGTAATGGATTTCGTCGAAAAGTCGCGTCTTCGCGAGGCTCGTCCACAGGAGATAAGTCGACGAACGACGTTTCAATTTTCAAACCGTCGCCGCGAAGGGTGTTTCGCTTGTCGATAAACGAGCAAGGAAAAATAATTGATAGGTAAAACCGGTGACGCGTCACCCGGAGGATCGAAGAACCTCTTCTCTAGCTGATCGAGAAAAATCATTAAAGAAAGAGAGAGAGGATTCGTGTTATCTCGAATCATAGATTACTCTTGTGCTGTACCGTTCGTGTGTTTATTTAATTATTTAATAGAGCAAGTCTGGGACGAGTAAAATCTAATTGTGCTCTACTCGGTGCAAATTGAATATCGTTAACGCGAAATACGATCGTTGATTGTCGTTTAAATAAACGGGAAACTGAATATTTAGTATTGTCGTTAGATAATCCACAACGGGGAATTTACGAATTTGATGGGCTCTCGCTCGGATTGAACGATCAGCGAAAAATACTTGTCGATCAATCCCGTGGTTAAATCTCTGATAATCCTCCGCGCGTATAGGTTGCTTCATACACATGATTTGGTTTATTTAAAAAGTTTGATCGACACGTTGCCCGGTATCGTTTCCCTCGACTTTTCTGAGGCTTCTGGTATCGTAGACCGGCAGCCTATTAACAGCCAAACTTAAAATTGGCATAACCGGTACTTCCCAATCTTGGATCCCGTCCAACCTATCTCATAGAGAACTCAGGTCATGACTCGAGACATCATTTCTTCTTTCGTTTGTTCTGTCTCGTGCAGCGTTCTCTACCTCAGGACCCTTATTGTTCGGTATTTAGATAGCTCGATTACTCTACACCATTATTCTTCCTCCCGCATGCACACTGATGGTATGCAACTCATTAACATTTACCATCCGACGCTTCTTCTGCTAAACGCGAAATTGAATATGATCTGAATAATGTTACAAAGCGGTTTGCAGCGCATAATTTGAACCTCCACGAGAACCTCCCTTCATCGTGTTAGATTTACCATTATCCTATCGTAACTAAACTTATTTAGCGTTAATCCAACTTCCTGCTATTTTTTTGCGACTCAACCTGAAAACTGGATTATTCTCTCGTGAATTTCATATTATAACTAACTTCAGAGCCCCTTGCTCTGATTTGAAAACACCTAATCGTGAAACTTGCTCAACTATTTTCGCGTCGCAAACGAAATCACAGGCCGGCGTTATCTTCGTCCCGCCGGATGTGTTTTGCGCTTCGATGTCGAACTGCTTAAAAAATTAACAGCGTTTACGTCCCCTGTGCCAAGACATAGTTAAATCGTCCATATTAATTACACGTTTAACGCGTCGGGGAGAAATTTAATCCCGAGTATACGCTTCGTCAGGTTACGGAGTTGTGTAGTTCAACGTCTCGCTAATTACGGAGTCAGCGTTGTAACGCCGAACGAATTTACGTCCAACGAGACTGATCGACGCTCAAAACGATCCCAACGGTTTTGAAGTGCATACGTCTGCTGGGTGAAAATCGTGAAGGCTCGAAAAAGCTGCGACGCACGCTAATCGCGAGACTCGTCGAAGGTTCACTCGACGAAGCAAATGTGGACCTGGAGGATGGTGCAGAGTGTAGAATTTAGAGGCAATTTTCTTTTTTATTAAATATCTTAGGCCTACATGGGCCTATCAATCTCTCTAGATAATGTAAAATATATATATTTGGTATGTTAATGAGCTCTCTCTAGGATCGTTATCGAGGAAGGTACTACATTCTTGGATCTTCGTTCGTTGGCCATTTTCTCTTTTTTATTAAATATCTTAGACCTACATGGGTCTATCAGTCTCTCTAGATAAGATGTAAAATATATATATTTGGTATTTTAATGAGCTCTGTCTAACGTTCGTTGGCTAGGATCATTATCGAGGGAGGTACTACATTCTTAAATCTTCGTTCGTTGGCCATTTTCTCTATTTTATTAAATATCTTAGACCTACATGGGCCTATCAGTCTCTCTAGATAATGTAAAATATATATACTTGGTATTTCAATGAGCTCTGTCTAACGTTCGTTGGCTAGGATCGTTATCGAGGAAGGTACTACATTCTTGGATCTTCGTTCGTTGGCCATTTTTTCTTTTTTATTAAACATCATAGACCTACATGGGTCTATCAGTCTCTCTAGATACATAATGTAAAATATATATATTTGATATTTTAATGAGCCCTATCTAACGTTCGTTGGCTAGGATCATTATCGAGGGAGGTACTACATTTTTGGAACTGCAAACTGTTATCTTTTTCGTTATCTCAAAGTGAAAACCAGCGAGAGTCAGTGAAGTATTGAAAACGTTCAATTTACGAATCACATGTAGGGTTCATTTTAAGAACCATGTGGCCAAGGTCCTATACCAAACTCCCACAGTTTCAAGTCGTATCCTATGGGTATTCGAGAGCCAATGAAGCTACTACTGATTATAGTAATTTGACTCTATTAATTCAAACTAATACAGGACTTCGGGTCACCGATTTTATTGAGAGTTTGACCACTGATAGATCTTCCTACCTCATTTACTAATATATACCATTATAGGATTAGATACTCGATATTTTTCGAGATATTTACAATTAAAAAGCTTCGATACTCCTTGAAAAGTACCTGAATGGACACTAATCAGCCAATACAAGACGTGGGCCAAGTACTATGTGTCAGACTGCTGACCAAACAAGTCAGAGTTCGATTCCCCATACATGCAATTTTTTTTTCTTCTTTACTGTGTTTGTATGCACAAAATTGCAAGTCTAAAGATCGTGGGTTCTCGTAAAGCAATGTTTCTAAAAATTTTCGAAAGATTCGTGTCTCTGAAGCGAACGGCGGAGCTTCTCTAATCACGACCCCGCGTCAGAACGCGCAACCCTTCGGGGTCCGCTCGTCAGGCTGAAAATCATCGCGTAGGCGCGGCGGGGACGAATGCTTGCGTAGGTTTGCTCGCGTACCGGAATTCGAGGCTCGTCATTAATTGGACGTCGGCGAGCAGCGGCCGTTCGCCGACCCACTTTTGCCTCGCGAGCATCCAACGTCGTCGTTCCGATTAAACGCGCCAGCTTCGTTGTTCAGCTTCCACGGCGGAATTGCGTGCCATCCGAATTGCGGGCGCATACGTTACGCGTTGATCGCCGCTACGGAAATAGTTCCTTACTGGATACGCGTGCTCCAGGAATACCAGCGCGGGTAAATCTCTCGGTCGAGCGACGCGCGTATTTACAATCGACGATGTTTTTGCACGGTTCGAGCATCAAAGCGACGGGAGGAGCATCCTCCGTCTTCCGGTGACGGGGGTGGGGAGAGGAAGAGACTCGGTTCCGGTAAATAGAAACCTTGGGCCTCGGGGGACGATTCCTCCTGGCTCGTCCGCGGGACGACGAACGCGAAATCCACCATTTTCCTGGCGCCTGGGCGATTGCACGTGCTGCTCTCGAAACTATTTCCGGCCACTTCCGCGAACCCCGTTATTTTCAACCGAGTTTACGCGCAACTTTATGCCAAATGGGACGATGTCTCTCAAAACATTATTATTATTGTTATTATTAAACTCGGATGCCCCTTGAAGTTCATTCTCGGGCGTTTGTAGGACTTGGAAGGGTGGGTCTGAAGCGACCAAGCTCCGTTCCTAGCGATTATGTGCTTTTTGTAAGAAATTTCGGATAATTGGAATGGGGGGGACTCCTCACCGATTTATTATTATAGAACTCGATATTCTCAACGAATTTTTCTTATAAGTGTAATCCCCGTTCGACTTCAGTTTCCGAGATACACGCAAAATTTCACCGGTGCTACTACGTTGAACTGTGACTATACACGTTCATGGCGGAACATGCATCAGTACATTAAGCCGGGTGACCGTCGCTTATCTGTACAGTAAACTTCCATCTATTGAAAATTATAACGCTCGTTTAATTAATTCAGAAATGAAATTACACGGATACGTAGGACGCAATTATAACCGAATGCCGACAAACTTACCCTCAAACATGTTCTAAAGCTGTAAAGAAAAGAAAAACGGTAATAGCGAATGATAAATAGATTAGACCAAGCAGAAAATATTAAAGGAACTGCACCGAGATAAAAGCCTCTGTACCGAGGTATAAGTTAATGCCTTTAGCGCAGCACGTGACACGTAACACGTAACGCGTAACACGTAACACGTGTCCCTTATCGTAAACTTCGTTCCACGCGAGTCATATTTTATTCAACCTTAGACCCAAGGCTGGTATCCGCGTCGAAAGTATGAATATGTGAGAAAAGAGAGCTTGCTTATTTTGGTGGTTGTGTCAGATACGAAGGTGAAATGAAAAGGCGATTTTTTGTTGTTGCTTGTTTCAGGTGGGTCCGGCCGGGGGGAGGGTGAGCCAGGTTCGAACGAAATACCGATCGGGAGGAGGGGCGGCGGTGGCGGTGGCGGTGGGGGCGTTGGAGGAGGTAGCGTGTTGGGTGTTGGCGGAGGTGGCGGAAGCGGAAGCATCGGGGGAGGCTCGGTGGGCAGAAGCGGGTCCGGGGGTGGCGGCCGATCGAGGGACGAGCCGAGGAGGCACACCCTCGGCGGCGATCACCAGCCGTCCCTACATCATCAGCAGTTCAACGCGGCCCAACAACTGCACCCCCTTCATCCCCATCATCCCCATCATCTGCCGCCGCCACACGGCCAGTACGGTACACCGCCCACGCGTCACACCACCATGGATCTCGAGGTGAATCTTTGCTACCGCAACATGTAAATACATACATATTGACTCTTACTGTTTGCGCTCTGTCTGGTCACACTGTTCTTTCTCGAGCCCTGTGTGTCGGTTTCCCACTTGGACGTGTCCCCCCGAGAATGATTTTAATCGGTACACCATTTGGAAATTGACCCTTTCCACTCGGAGACTTTTCTTCGATCTACTACCGATTCAAGCACACTTTCTTACGAGATAGATAGTAAATGCTCCGAGCAAACATATCTTTTTTTACATTCTTTGCTTATGTATTTTGTCCTATATAATCAGTCTAAAAAAATAATGTCGTCTAATGGTTTGCTGGATGTCCCTTTAAAGAGGACAGCCGAGTGCAAAGGGTTAAATATCTAGCATCTCCGAACGTAAAAGAAACTCGTATCGGATAGTCAACAGGCGTTTACTGATCTAGTACATTGTGGCCCTGTTCGGTATAATTTTCTATGCGTTAGCAGGAAAATTAAGTAAACGGGGAACAATAGGTGATAATAGAAAATAATTGATAGAAAATCATACTGAATGAGGCTGATATTACTAGATCGATAACGGTTTCAATCTTCGATAGATGCTTACTGACTACCTAATATGGGTTTATTTTACACTATAGGCAAGTCTCGACGATTCCGGTCAGTTAGACTGTTCATAACCATAATAATTGCAACATGTATTAGGAGTCATAATCGTAAGTTGTTGTATAGTTGGTGGAACAAGTATTAGCAATCTATATAAATTGCTTTCTCAAAGCGTCATTAATCTGTTGCATTTATAAATAAGATGGAAGAAATTATTATATAAATAAAATTTGCGTATAACAAACGAAACGTGAATAATTTTTTTATTCGTTACGTATTATTCGAGTAAATATTTTCTCTGACAGAATTAACATTCCTGTCACTTTATAGTCAACTTATCATCTTTATCGACTTTATCATCTTATTTCAGCAAACTTCACGAGATTGCTATATTTGTAACACCATGTATAATCAGTATCATCGATACGACTGTTTGAACGATACAGTAATCTTCAGATAACTGACACGATTTTTTTTCTGGGTAACTGAAATGAAATTGGAGTCCTCCACTATGAAAATCATAATTTTTATATTCAATTTTATATTTAATTGTATAAAAGTGGTCAAAATTTATTTTCATAATTAATATCGACTTTGCATTTTCGTTATCAACCTATAACAGTAATGCAAGACGAACTCCACTAGCAAGATTATTGATGATGGAGTCGCACTAATGTTTTAGTAAAATATTATTAAATAAATACAAAAAGCGTCCCTTCGTGTGAAAATATATTCGAAAGCGATCTATCGATACGGTGAGGTCCTTTTTTCCTCTTTCAAACTAGTTTTCAACACCATTTTCAAATCACAAAAAGAAATTCGAATATCATCATTGGTTGGATTACTATTTATTACTAAAAAGGACAAGAAGTCTGTGCAGAACATTCATTAAAATTATTCGCTGCTTGGTTCGAAACATAAATTCGAAAGAGGTTACACAAGGAAAGCGGCGTTTCATCCAGGTTATGCCGGTGGCCTCATTATGCATCTAATTTCTTACTTAATTCTAATACAATTTTAAGGCAAGGTTTGCCGGGTCATCCTCACCGACGACTACTTGCTCTGCATAATTACCAGCATAACCTCACCGAAACGCCATTCGTTTCTATAACCATTTTCAAACCAAGAAACGCGTAATTCTAACGAATGCTCTGCAGAGACTTTCCTTTATATTTTCATGATCATTATGTCTCTTCACACAGAAAAATATGTGCGGCTCGAACGAAATTGACCTTTCTTAAATATCAGTAACTTCGAGAAGTCGGTTTTTCCCCCAGTTATCCATAGATTATTGTATTTCTACTCGTGGAGTCTTACACGGCGGCCATATTGGACAAGGACGATGGCGCCACCGTGCAATTCTTGCATTTCCTCGTACTATACGACAAATTCTTACGATTACGACCCCTTTATAACAGAAAATGCACGGTCCCGAATCGTCGAAACTCCGCTTTCGGAGTTTTCATATTTATACTCCTCTCGTTTTTCCTTTTTTTTAAACTGTATATATATATTCTCCCCGTTTCTCGTATTCGTCGAACCGCGGGGGCTGAGAAGCACGTTCGGTACTGTTCGACGTCGTTCCAAAGAAAATTATTCAACGGAGCCGTGGGAATCGAAGAGGAAGAGTCTCGCGGGATACAAGGAACTTTCTGTAAATCTCGTTACTCTCTTCCGTGTCTGTAATACAAATTAGCGGATCGCGTGCGACGATTACGTAAGGGACGATCTTCGACGAAGCATCCGGCGACGGTGAATGGCTTTAATGGATATTCCGAGGTCAAGAACCGAGCGTAACGAAGGGAAGAGGTTAATTAAGCCGCATCCACCTACGCCGTCCTCGTTTCTCGATTCTCGTCTCCTGTCGACGCCCCGAGAGCGGGCCGCTCGTTGAACGCGACTATTTCGAGACACGCATCCATCCATATTCGGCGTATGGAGGTTTGGCGATAGCTCGTTATCCATCGCCATCGGGAGGTGGTCGAACTCGGGGTTTCGTCGGTGTAAATTCGCGATAGACTCGGGGGTGTGGGATCTCGCGTCAACGTTCGACGATATTGTTGCTGCCTAAATTAAGTCAGAGGCGGTGGCCGCCAACGCGTACCAAGTACAAGGGCTGTTTCGTCCAACTAACAAGTACAGTGAAATGTCTCTGAAAAATATGTTTATGCAAAACTAGTATTGACAATTTTTTCATCGATCTAATTGTAAAGGACATTTCAAGATCAAGTTGATTTTTTAAATCGGACCATACATTTTTTTATTTGTATTACAACAGCTGGTTTCATTAGGAGTTCAACGACCTACAATGTTGTATCATTTCTTTCAGATAGTCATAAATTAAGAGCGACCAATCGTTGTACTGAGGCTAAATTTCAGTTTCAGCGAATGGATTGATAATACAGTGTTATTGCTAAATCAAATATTAGAAATTTTAGACTTTTCAACACACTGTATATAGATTTTACCCTTTTAATATTTAGAACTAAATTTTCACGTACTTATTTATTATGGTCTGGGTTAGGTTAATTTATGAATTATGGTCAAAGGTACACGGAAAAATTACCTTCGTACGATAAACTATGTAGAGATTTTTGGAAGCACTAAAATTTTTTATACTAATTTTGCACACAACTTGGAAAAAATATTTCAATTAAACTGTCACGTAGCCAGCCAAGAGGCCTTACGAATTACAAACATTACGAAAACTTTGTGAAAATATCGTGAAAATGCAAGTTTTTCTCACTTCGTAGAATCGTCCATACGCTTCTATACCTTGCTAGGTTGGTGACCCCTGGCTCCCAAGCTACGGTCCGGATTTCCAAAGTATTCGCAAATATTCGGGCCAATCTGGGCGCCATTAATTTGGGGAAGACAACCGATATCGTTGCGGTAACGAACAGCGAGATTTACGAGGTCGAAAAATCCGTGAAAAATCGCGTTGCGCGGGTGTCGACGCGGACCATCGTTCCGAGTTTACGCTCCAATTTTTATCCCGCGGCTAACCGCGAAGAAAATCCTTCTCGTAACGAACAAAGCGTACGGTCCCGTCAGCCCCTGCGCGTGCGTACGTTTCTTATTGTGTGCCCAGCTTTATCGCGTACACGTGGCGGCTCTACGACCGTTCTATATATTATCGTTCACCGACACGCCCTTTCTGCTCGTTTCTCTCCTTCCACGATTTTTATTCTGCTCGTTTCTCTTCTTCTGGCCTCGCGAGTACGTTGCGACTCGAAAGCGTTACCGAGATCGTTCCAGGCCGTACGCCACGCCTGCTCGCCGATAACGCGATCGTCAACTTTGCAGAGCTTTCGCAACAACAGTCACGATCGTCGATTCCGTGTAAAAAAGACGTAGCAAAGCTGATGATCGCGTGTGGAGCAAGGGTGGGGAACGTTTTGGCATTGAAAGACAGGATGTCGCTTCACAGAGTCCTTACAAGTCCACATTTCATGCAGTTTTCCTCGAAACTATAAAAGGGACACTGGTGTCTCGATATATGACCAACGATCGTGTCTGCTTATATGAGTCACAGCCAAAATCGTACACCACGTATCAGAAAATGATTTTGGAAAAAAGATTTAATGGATATATATAGTAAAAACAAATAAACCTATCTAAGTAGTAAAAAGAACAAAGTTATTAGAATTCAGCCTGGAAAAGTCTCACATTTGAAATCGTTCACTATTAAAATCCCCATTATTTTTCGCGAAGAACCCCTGAAAACAAAGGAAAATTATGAAACGTGTGAAAGATTACATTGTTCAGCTCGTTGGCAAGCAATAGAGCTCGTAATACTACAGTTACGACTCATCATTAAACGACTAATTCCAAATCACTTGGTTTCATCGTGGTCGTATAAGCGGACGAATCCGTAGTCATATATCCGGACACTGCTATACTACGTTTACACGATCCGGATTTACTCCTGGAACAATAATAATAACTCTTGGAACGCAAGAATTAATGATCCCCGGTATATGTATAATTTTAGAAATTCATAAACGAGCAAAATGATTATTTTAACCAACGGGTTTTCCCTTCCACGTTTCGTCGACGAATGAAGAGAACGGACCGGTAACTTTTTAGCATTACCGTTTGAAGGGTTTAAATTAATTCAAATATACCGCGTTTGGGAATGTAGAATTTTTTAAGAAAGACACGTAATTGAGAAAATATGCTAAAAGGTCTCGCTGGACAGCTCGAAAGGCCGCAGATTCCCCATCTCTGGTGTAAAGACTTTTGCAGGACTCACCCTCTAATCCGGGCTTGGCCATATGGATCGAAGACGCCGGGATCGATCGATCGCATCGTTTCTCTCTTACCTCACGAAAGTACATCTCCATCGAAATCCCCTTTTTTTTCTGTTCCATGCATATATACATCTAACTGGTTTACTTGTGTGTGTGTGTTTCCGTGTACGTGCCGCCGCTAACAGATGGGGACCAAGTCTCGCCAGAGAAAGGTAATTTTTCGATACTTCACCTTCCCTACGACGCCTTGTACCGTTTCGAATAGCACGAGAGCATGCGACTATTTTTCATCGTCTCTCGTCGTTGCCGTTATTTTACCTCTTAGCTGAGTTTACGATAAGGACGAACGCTTTTCGACGCCGGATCGATTTTACATCGCGAGAGATCAGAGTCGCGGGTCACTGGTCAGTTATTTTTGAACTAGTAAAAATACACATGCTTCAATTTCTTAATTTTAAGACATTCACATCACTATGGTTTCATAATTCTATTTTTGTTGAAATTTATAATCTTTCGTTTCTGATTTGAAAAGAAATTATTGAAAGTTTTTGGTGACCATCGACTTCCATGGAAGATCATTGGAAATATCGCTAATAAATATTGCGTTACGAGTTTCATCTGTTCTTGAAAAGTTTCTCATTTATTTGAACCTAGAATATTAATATTACCGTTCTGATAATTCGTTGGAAAATTAAAGATGAATTGAAAAAGATACAAGAATAACTTTCGGTCCTTCGAAGGCTTCGTTTTCGAGATAATTGAGTTCGAAAATTTTTTGAACGCACGTACGCCTGAAGACGATTTTCCAACGATTTTCCGTCGATGTCCGACTCGAGCCCGTACTGCACGCATAGCCAATAAATTTTCAAACTCAGTTTTCTCAAAAACGAAGAAACAATTTATAGTGAGAAGGTACAGTGCGGTCTTGTGACCCTGTATCCTGTCTTTTAGAAGAGTATGAAGTTTTTAAACAAATTTTAATTCCAATCATGATAATTTTATGGGAATATAGACCGATTCGAGAATTATCCACTTTACTGGTGTCGAGTCTGACACAAAATTTCGCAGCAGAGATAATTACGTGTGAAACATGGGCTCGCACGAGCATTCAAGGAATATCAATAGTCGTAAACAATATGGTATTTGTCCAGAGATTTTGTAACTCCGCATTGTATTGGGGGCTTTATTTACAGTACGTAGCGCTTGCCACAGCACATATTTACTTTAGCTTGCCGCGAATTTTCGAAAATCCATCGAAAACGATTAACCTGGGATTATTTGGCTTTTTAGTAATTTACGGGCACGTTGACATAAAAAGTTAAACCAACTAAACATTACAGATCTTATAACATTTTTATATTAAGGTACTCGTAAAATATAATATTAAATCTTACTCGACTTCATACTCTGCCCTAAGGTTGGGGATTAAACTACCAAATCACTCGAGGTGTAACGCAAATCAAAGCAAATCAATACTTTGGTAATTAATTTTCTATGAACTCATCGCGATTAAGGAATCCGTAGACTTTGTAGTTCGTATACGTTTTGAAAAGCGTTCCTCCGTATGGTAAAGGCTCCCTGCATTCGATTCGAGAATGTTCACCGTCGAGGCGACAATGGAGGACGCTGAAGGACGTAAGCTGATCGGAATATTTTGTATTTTCAGTCGCCTCTCCCGCGCGGTTTTCCACCACCCTCCTCGACGATGTTGTTCGATGACGACCCGGGCATCATGTCCGAGGTGGAGACATCTAGCACCGGATTCCGACGGGGCGGCAAACAAAGAAGCAGCCTCCCCGTCGTACGGACCCCCAGCAAGACTCTGGAGCGATCATTAGGTAACTCACGACCCGCAATAGAATTAGGAGCATCATGTTGCTGCCTCGCTGCTCCATGCCCTTGTCGGACATACCTGACGAAACGATGCGTTTCTGTGGACGATCCCTTAGGTCTAGTGTTCCTGCAGTATAGGAACGAGACGAAACGGACGCTTCTGCCCAACGAAATCACGAGCATAGACACCGTCAAGGCTCTCTTTGTCAGAAGCTTCCCGAAGCAACTTACAATGGAATATCTAGACAGTCCGCACGTCAAGGTTTACATACACGACAGCAACAAGAACATGTTCTACGAGCTCGAGGATCTTAGGTACTAATTTACCATCACCTAACACTACTCTGCGCCTTTATTTATCCACTTCACGAACGCGTTACTTCGTTCTTAAATAAATACTAATTTTATCCGATGTTATACAATTCAAATACAAGCAATTTATAAATTAAACTCACGCGTACGTGTGCCTAGAATATTCCTGAAGGGGTGAAATTTCATTCCATTTTTTTTTTCTTGAGACGATACGCGAGAACTGTTACGAAATGTTTAATTAATCATTCTTGGTACTTGTCTCCTGTACAACGTGAAATTAGAATTTCCAGACTCGCTCTATATACATGTAGATACTATCGGGGGACAATAGTTATTTAATTGACACGAGATGACAGGTTTATAATAAACACGTCTAAGTGTCGGGATATCATAGCGGATACTGCTAACCTACTTAATGTGTTTCGTCATCGACTTCGTCGATGGCCTAAATGCGAAGCAATTGTTTAGTAAAATTTACAGAAATATTTGAAAGAACTAGCGAAACGGAATACTCGATTAATGATGTTAACTATGTGACAGAAATTCAAAAATATATACACTTATGTAAAATCTAATACTAAAATTACTATACAAAATTTGCTTTAGTTTCTTCGAAACGGGTCTTAAGAAAGAACAAACTAGTTCTATTGTTCTATTATTTCAATCATCCAAATTAACTTTCCAATCTTTAATAACATTACTTTAATAACACGTACACAATTACAACTTTACCCCTTTCATTTATATTGTTTCGAAATATATTCAGAAGCTGCTGAATTATTTAACAGTTTTACGAGTACTCCATTTTCCTAAACTTTAGACGTTCCCATCGTCGATTAAATAACTATTGTTCCCCGAACAATGCCCTTATATCCTAAGAAGAAAACTGATCGTACGATCGAATCGTTGCACGACGGTAGCCGAAATCTCGTTCCCCTTTTCGCGAACACGTATCGACGAAGACGCGTCCATTTTGATTCCAGATCTCATTTGAAAGACATTCGAGACCGCAGCGTCTTGAGACTTTTCGAGAGCACCGACGGCGTGACGGGGATGCCAGGACCGTTGGAAATACCCGGAAACGCGCCTCTGGGACTACCCCCGCACTGGGAAGACCAAAGCTACTTCAGCGAGCCAGAGTTCGACAGCGAGTACCAGCATCAGCACATCCACAAGAGCAAGGTGAGTCCCGTAACGTTGTTGGAAAAATGTCTTCGTCGTTGGCGCCTCCCGTTGCTTCATTCCCCTCGATTTTTCGATACATAATACTGTTACTCGTAGCACATTGCGGATGTTACGCAACGACGGACCTATCCTATGAAAATAAATACGATTCGTACGCGTTTCTAAGCGCGATCCTCTCGGTGTAATCGAACACCGATCCCCGGCGAGCGAGCAGTCGCGTAATCGAGCTAATGTCCAGGATTCGATGACCACGAGCCCGCGAACGCGTAGGAGAGATCCTGTTTAAGCGATAGCCGTCGAGACCCGTCGATGAACGTAAATCGTTGGGGTCGATGACGAGCAAATCCCGGGATTTGGCTGATCCGGAAACTGCGATACGCGTCTCCTCTTTCAGTCGGTTGCTCGTCGTTAAAACGCCTTGCACGCCTGCTTGGCTGGAAGATGCAGAGCACCGGAGTACAGTTTCTTGGGAACCGATCTCCAAGCCATGATCAACACCTTGGCGAACGGATCCTCGGCGCAACCGTCGCATATGTCCATTATCATCCTGACCTCCGCCTCAGCGGGTTCCCTTTCGTCGTCCTTGTTCTCATATTTTGGTAATTGGAGACCAAAGTTCGTCAATCCCGAGAAATACTCGTTGTCCAGACCCTGGGAGATGTATCCGTCGTCCAGGATCAGTCCGTCGCCCAGCTGCACCAATCCTCTCTTCTTCTTATCGGAATCTCGTTTCTCCAGTTTCTTATCGCTCTCGGTACTCTCCGAATTCGTCTCCGGCACGAACGTCACCTGAAAATGCACGTACGTTAGAAGCGGCAAAGCCTACCCTTTAAAATGGCTTTTGAATTATGTCGATCGGACTTTCCGTTTTCGAGATATCGTAATTTATGTAAAAGGTCATTTTTAAATTCCACTATCTCTGTCTCCGTCTTACGCTAGGGCCTCTCTCTCGCTCGCGCGTCGTGCTGACCTACCCCAAGATCGTGACCGGGAACTCATAGTATTTCCGAGAATTTACTATCTACTACGAGTGCGTAGCAGTTCCGAGAATTTCGTCGAGCTTAGTGCGGATCAATGAAAAATACGCAAGTGCTTCGAACCCTTATATCTCCGTAACTAGCCACCGCATCGACTTGAAACTAAAATCGCTATATCTCCGGAACTAATAACGCTATCGCCTTGTACAAACGCTCATTTTAAAGGGCATTTCCTTCTCTATCCGATGACTATACCAACTACTATATTTTATGCCGTCTTCTATGTTTATTTTGACATTTACTTCGACGTTATATACCCAAAGAAGTTAGAGCAATTCCTATCGATCATACGACTGGTGCGCGATAAGACTCGATTATAAATTTTTCATTTAATTAAAAATGAATTTAAATCTGTATACAGGGTGTTTGCATAATTACTATGCCATTTTTCCGTAAATAATTGTTATCTCCGGAATTAACTACGGTATCGACTTGATACAAAATTTCAAGAACGTTTTATCCTCTATCCGATGAAAATTAAACAATTTTGATACAGTTTGTAAATTTTCTGCGCGCAGTTAAAGTACTGATCGCTCACGAATTTATGCTGTCTCCTATGTGTATTTTTAAAATCATTTCGACGTTATACACTCAGTGACGTTTCTGAAATTCCTATTAATTATAATAGAGGTTAATTGCTTCGTAGAAAGAAATGTTCTCATCTATGCAGGACTCATCAACGATAAATAAACAGAAACGAAATTTTCTAAGATATACATATGACATCTCGAGAACCTTTCGACCCACAAAACAAACATCAATTTATTGCCTCTCTTTTTTTCAAGAATATTCGATATATGGCGGTGTACAAAGTGCACAATGAACAGAAATTGGCCAGCTTTCAATCTAGCTACGAATCCTTACAAGTCTACGGCGACTAGACGACAATAAATAAAAATCCATCGTGGATTTTCCATTTATCGTCGTCCTCGATCGCCTTGGGGCCTCGAATCCGCTTAATTGCGCGGTAATAAAATCTGGAGGATCGTCGAGTCGGGATTGAACGGTTCCTGTTGGACGATTCGCTTACCTTGCCGTCCGATCGTTCGCCAACGGTGGCCTCTTGCGTTTCTCTCTTCTTCGTCGGGACCTCGAGGCTCGCGTCCAATTCTCCGCTCGTACTTTCATCGCTCGACGAATCCTTCTCCCTCTTGAAAAGATTGCGGTAGGGACCGTCCGCGAAGCTCGCCCCCGCGTCGGTTAGCCCATTCGTCGGATGCAGGCCCGCGGCGGGCTGCAGGCTGCCAAAGAATTGCGAAGATTGCAAGGGGAACGCGGACGAGATGGATTCGGGATTCACGGGCGGAAGCGGCTGCGGCGGCGGGTTCCGGGGAACCAGGCTAGGATGTCGCAAAGTGACTCCGCCCTGAACGATCTGCAACGGCGTACCGGGGTTCAGTTTCACCTGTAAATCAACCGACTCTCAGCATTTTGTAAACCCGTTCGATCAACATAGAGACAAACGTTCCAATAATAATAAAAAAGTACTCTTCGAACAGCGGGACGTTCATTCGAAAACTTCAAATCTAAATATCTCGAAAACAACACACTGAAAAAAATGTTAAATACAGAAGTTTCAAATACTTGGTTTCAGAAAGGAAAGACACGACAATTTTATTTTTTTTTGTTTAACTTCAGTCTCAAGGTTATATGAAGGGTAACCTTGTTTTTTTTTCAAATGAGAACCTATAGTTTTATTTACATATTGAATATTTAATAAAATAGAAAATTTGTCTTTCTTCGTCTTCGATTAATGGTTGATATATTTGCATTTTATACAGATGAAACCTATTTAATTTTTGCGTTTTTAATAGCACCTAACATGATGTATGTTGAATTATTTGGATATCCTGCAAAATTGCTCAGAATTTCAATTCGATCCATTTTGGCACATCAGATATTAACCCTTTGTCCTACAATATACGAGCCTGACTCGTCACAAGATCTCGATATCAAGTTTCACAATGACGAGTCTGACTCGTGATCAAGTCTCATACATTAAAATCATCACATTTTTATATTGGCCAGGTATTCGTAAAACAAATCTGTTCTTTTTTGTGGTCATTCCTTTTACGAACAAATTTAAACAAAATTAAATAGCGTACATTTGAAAAATTATTTGGAATTAATCGTACGTCGAGACGTTGACGTATATCTTACCTGTGTGTTAATTTGTCCTCCGGTGAGGAAAGGATGTGGTGGAGGCGGCGTCGCGGGTGGACGAAGCATTGGCCTGGGCGTATTATTGCTCGTATCGTGTTCATAATGATGGGCGTGATGATGTTTATGATCTTTATGAGCCTTTCCGGCAGTCAGAGCAACACTATATAGCTGAACCATGGTCACTTCTCCTAGGTAACCACCGGCTCCTACAAAGCGATATTCATTTAATTTTCACGCCTTTCGTAGTAAACTTAATAAACATAATAAACCTGATAAACTTGAGAGAACGTATATATAGACCTTTTGTGATCAAAGTGATAAAATATGAAGAGACGAAGAGTTAAAAGTATCCTCATTATCTTTTCATCAAATTTTTGTCTTTTCGATGTAACTTTCGATCAAGTTATTCATTTATTAATTATCGAATTAAAGGTACAGAAATTCCAGTAACAAACACGAAGTAATTGTCAAAGTAACGATGGTTATGGAAAAGGTATACTCGTGTAATGATCGTAACAGGGACAGTTTGTCGATCCTTCGGAGCTCGTATTTATAAGACCACGTAAGAAACCTGACACGAGCTTTGCAATATTGCGGTTAATGACGTGCAGACAAACGAGTAATTACAGAACAGCTATCTTACCCTTAGGTGCTCCGTCTCCCTCCAAAAAGCCACCGCCCAGTTGTCGTTGTTCTTGTCCAGTGATTGCTATTCCACCGCCTTTGATGACGTGACCGACCAGCTGACACGAAAGTAAACGTGAGCGAAATTAATTGTTCATAGCGGTCGAGCCGCTGGCGCTGGCGGTGCTTACATGCGCTCGATATCCAAGAATTTTGATTAGTTTCATGCACAAACATTCGTCTCCACGTCAAGCAAAAAATTGGGTCAGCCTGTTGCTTGTCATTTTCGATGCATTTTCCCACAGTCCCATTTCGGCGTCGGCGTATTTCAGCGTGCGAAATGTATTTCTACCAATTTCGTACGGAGAAAGAGAACTCTTTGGAAGGAACCGCGAAAAAAAAGTTACTTAACGCTGTCACTCCACTTATTTAACCCCGTTGTTCAAGAAGAAGGCGTATAAATAGAATGTATATCGAGTATAATACAAAATAAACGTCAATGATCGAAGCAACTAGTGAAAGAAATATCGCGTTTTGTCTGAAATACTTAAATATATCATTCGTAATCGAGTAAATGGAACGTATTAACGCGAGATTGATAATTCTCTCTCGTAACGGTACATAGGCGAAATAATATTTTAATAACGTCGTATCGCGTTCGTTTCGAAGGTATTCCCGTTTTTCGTCGCGTCGAATCGATTTTTGCCTTCGCGAGACGCGGGTAGGAGAACCTATCGAAATAAAATTCCTTTCGTCGTGCATTCTCTCCTTCGATTACGTTTATCCATTTATCGCTCGACGCGAGGCTGCCGATTCCACTCTCGTTTCAACGTTTTTCGATAACCGCTGAAACCAATAACGGAGACGAAATCCTGCCGCGGATGGGTTCCCCTATCGATGCCTCGACGGATTCGGTTCGAAGCAAGAATTCGCTCTGTAGCAGGAAATCCGCGTGGATTTTATAAATCGAGATCTTTGGAAATCATTATTCGTTTTTATCGATACCTGTTTTTTTTTAAAAAAAACGAATTTAATAATTATTTAATTAATTTTTATTATACAGTGCCTGACGTGGTGCTCGATGGGCTCGCTGCGGTTTTTAAAAAATTGTGTCGATCGCAGGATCAAAAGTTGGTCTTGACGCCAATATCGCGGGAAAATAGTTGAATTTGA